AAAAAAAAAAAAAAAAAAAAAAAAAAAAAAAAGAATAAATTGCATTACCGATACAATATGTTGTTTCTTGGTGTTATTTTCTATCTTATTACACTTGCATTTTATATATTACGTGTTAAGGATAAACAAGTTAAACTATAATAAAGGTAAACCGGAATATATTGCTAAAGGATTGTGAGAATATATTAACACAAAAAAATATCAACTTCCGTTTCGTTGTATTTCTTTTTCTCCTTTTTTTTTTTGTTTTTCATGAAACACGAAACTCTGCTTTATTTTATCTCGTTTTTAACATGACCATGCTGTTTTAAAAACCACGAATATTTAAACTACTGTATTTTCTTTTTTTTTTTTTAGAAAACTTTGAAAAAAAAAAAAAAAATTATTAACAAGTAAAAATTGCGAAATTTTTCAACATTATATTACACGATTTTTTCTAATTTTGTTAATTTTATTTTTGCTTTCCAAAATGATGTAATAATTTTGTACTCTCTTTTATGTATCTCATTCTTTCTCATAAATTTCATGAGAGTTTAGAAGAGAAAAATGCTGACCTAGTAACAAAGAAAAAGAAAAGTTTCCTTTTGTAAAAGTCAGGATAGACGGAATCGTATTCATAAGTTTTCCTGTAAGACCGATTGATTCTATAAAAGATAGAAATAAGTAAAAGAAGATAGAATATAACTAAAGATCTTTTGAACAATAATATCTTCATTGAAATTTATGTCAGTATAATAACTTAATCGTTTATTCAATTCTTCTTGAAGTATATCAATGGGGGCTCATTATAAATGTTAATAAACGAATGAGTTAATCAAAGAGTTGTTTTTTTTAATAGACAAATACGATCATCAATTTAATTATTCCATAAAAATATTTTTATTTATTTCGACAAAATATTTATATATAATAAAAATATTTATTATATTTTATTTATAATTTAATAAAATAATATTAAAAAATATTGGTAAATTTGGTAATTTTTCGAAAACATTCGTATAATATAAAAATATTTTTTAATTAAAAATCTTATTGAAAATCTTGATTTAATAAATAACAAACTAGAATGAAATTTAGAATTTAAGCTGACGTAGAATCAACAAGCAACTTTTAAATTACTATCGACGTGACAATAAACAACAATATTCTACGATTGAATTAAAGAAAAGTGAAATAAACTATAGTAAAGCAATTGTTAAAGGAAAACCTTTCACATAAGTACTTTCTCAAGACGTTTAACTGACAATTTAAAGAACTGTGCACATACTCGTTGAAAGATCGAATCTATGTCACGATCTTTACTATGCTATATACATAACCGATCGATTCTTTTTATGTACATATACACAATGTGTTTTAAAAATTATATGGTAATAACTTCAAATGTGTTTTCAGTATTTTAAAATAAACTAATAAAAAAAGAAATGTTCATCTTTCGTTGTATTTTAAAATACCTTGTATAAACACACATGCATTTTCTGTCAGTAAAAATAAATTTATACTTTGAAATAATAACATGAATAAAAATGCATCATCCCATTTATATTTTTCTTCTACTTATTTTATAAAATATAAACTTTTTAATAATTAATTATAAATTTGTATTTTCCATCAAAATCATATTAATTAACATATATGACCCTTATAAGTAGCTTTAAGAAGTATTATCTTTTTAATAATATGTTTCTCGTGTGACACATCAACCAGAATGAGTAATTACAATAATTATTTCCAATATTGTATTATTACGTACAATTATTTCCTATTTAATTATATAAAATTTATTTGAATACTAATTTATATAAACAAAAATCCAAATGAATACCAATAATCTTTCCTCTCAGATCAATAGATCTGATTAATATTATGATATAGAACAGGAACGTGAAATATTATTATGCAGCATAGCATTTTTTAAATATCATTCAATCGATATTACATTCTCAATTAATTGGATATCAAAGGAATTTTCTGATACAATCAAATTATATATTTAA